GGGTGGGAGGTGTGCGAGGGCTGGCTGGCAGGAGGTGTGCGAGGCGTGGCTGGCTGGTGCATGGTGTGCGAGGGCTGGCTGGCTGGTGCGAGGTGTGTGAGATTACAGTGTCTGCTTTCCAAGTTCCTGCTGGTGCCCACCTCCGCTGGGATGCTCAGCAGTCGCTCACACTCCTTTGACCGTGCTGCGAGGGCTGGCTGGCTGGTGCGAGGTGTGTGAGATTACAGTGTCTGCTTTCCAAGTTCCTGCTGGTGCCCACCTCCGCTGGGATGCTCAGCAGTCGCTCACACTCCTTTGACCGTGCTGGCTCCCTCAAGATAACTGGTGGGGCTGAGTGGTCCCTTTGGTGGGACCCACGGCCCTTCCCTAAATGCCCAGCAGTGGGGTGGGCTGGCTCCTGCAGCCATTCCTGGGCCAGAGTGCTCAGGGCTGGCTCCGTCCCTCGCTGTTGGGGTGGGATCCAATGCCTGGTGCCAGTGTGTGTTCCCATCCAGCTGTGACCCACCGTCCTGACTGGGGGCACGGTGACCCCCCCAATCTCCCTCACCTGCTCTGCCCCACAGCAGGGAACTGGGGGCAGTTCAGCCAGCATGGAAACAGCTGCCTAAAAGCCACGGCCGCTCTGCAAGCACCCCAGCTCCTAGAGCGGAAATCGGCCTGGAGTTACGTCGCCTCTGGACACAACTGTCTCCTTGTGGTGAATAAAGACTTCCTGCTTACGCCCCTGCTGTGCCCGGTTACTGGACTCGGGGCAGGGGCGAAGGGTCCGGTTCTGCGGAGGATGGGGGTCGCGTGGGGAGGGGCCACGGGGAACTAGTCTGCTGAGAGAGCTTGTTCGCCTGCGAGCGAGCGAGCGAGTCCGTCTGTCCATCCATCTGCTTGTTCGAGAGCTCCTAAATGAACGAGCTAGGACCCCCAAATTCGGTAGGCGGCTTCCTCTTCCCAGAACTTAACGCAAGGCCAGGACAAGGGGACGTGCCCGGGATGCGACAGTTTTCCAGAACATAGAAAGGGAGGGGGCTGCTAGCAGGGACAGTTATAAGTGTAATGACCACAGGGGGGCAGCAAGGGGCCAGCGATGGGGACTGGGGCAGCAGCGGCTCCTCCGGGGAATCCCACCCGGCCAGCATGGTCCCCACCATGGCCAGTCCCGGGGGGGCCACCGCCCAAGCAGTGAGGTCTCCGCCGGTTCCTACGCCCCATACGCCCCAGCCCTGAAGGACCTACCTGAGCAATGCTGGGTAAATCTTCTAGTATTTAATAACGGGCCAGCAGGAGACCGTCTAACCGGATCCCGTGGCTGGAAGTTGAAGCTGGACAGAGTCAGCCTGGGAATAAGGCATCCGTTTTGAATGGGGAGAGGAATTAGCCAATTCCCCAAGGAGCATGGTGGATTCTCGGCCTGGCTCTCAGCTCTGGGAGGGAGCAGTGGATAGCAGATGGGATATGGCTGTGTTTGGCCGTGCACATCTGAGTGGTGTATCCTGTGGAACTCCTTGCTGCAGGGTATCAGGGAGGCAAAGAACAAAGGTGAATTGAAATAAGTGAATTTCACATGGGAGACCACGAACAGAAGCACCCCCCCAGCTGGGACATGCACTCCTAGTCTCCAGACTTCGGACACTCGGCGCCCACGGCCTGCTCCCTGGAAGGTGGGGGGCTATGGTACGCGGCTGGGGAGACACTGTCCTGCATGCTCACGGCTGCGTGGAGCGCGGGTCCCAAAGGGGCCTATGACAGCCAGGGGAAGTTGCAGGAGGGCAGGCACAACCGCAGAGGCTGCCAGGAGGAGGGCAGCGTGTGCAGCTGCGTTGCAGCGGGGCTGGGCCACGGAGCACCAGGGCTGGCCTGGAGCCCCCATGCCCTCCAAGCTGGCTGGGCCTTGTGTGGCTGGGAGCCAGGGCTCCTGGGCCCTCCCCTCCCCAGACAGTGGCCCAGAGTTGGGACCCAGCCCTGGATCTCCAGCCCCTAACACTGGCTGACTAGGCATCCATCTAGC